TTTTTTTTTTTTTTTTTTTTTTTTTTTTTTTTTAAATCAGCAGGGGGGATCTGCTTGGAAATAATAAAAATAACAAGAGAGGTTGGCTCTTGTGGCTGGGAACTACTTGAACTCAGCTTACTAAAATGTATGTTCTTGTGGAAGAACTGTACAGAAATATCAGATTTTCCAAAAGCAAACTTGGTTAAAAGTAAGTAAGAACATCTATGGTTTGATATTACTCTCCCTGACTTCTGTGGGTTGCTGTAGACATTTTGCAATAATGTGAAAGGAAGTCAAGAAAATAAGTCTTGAAAATCTTAAGAATGAATATCATGGCACAGTATAAAAGAGTGCATCTGCAAAAGAATACAGCATATGCTAAAACCAGAAGGTTAAATAGAAGGTGCAAAAGTCAGGCTTCTGAGTGTTTAATTCTAGAATGGACTATTACAATCATGTAGTCTGACCTCCTCTAGTTACAGCTTCAAGCCGTGTAATACATGGCTGGGCTATCTTTAGAGAGATACAAAATACTAATTTAATGATATTAGTGATAGAGAGTCCACCACATTCCTTGATCAATTCTTCCAGTGACTGAAAACAACTTGATAAAAATGTTTTCACTGTCAGTCTTAATTGGTCTAAATTCAACTTCCTGCCACTGGATCATATGTTTTGGCTTAGTAAAGAGTACAATGCAACTGTTACACTTGCTCGATTCTCTAGCAATTCAAGTGTAGCAAAACTGCTCCAATTTTAACCCTGCTTTATTCAAGGTTAAAAGTTTGGGCAATTTAGCTAAGAAGTATTACTATGGAAACATGAAGATGTAATGGTTAGCTAGCTCCCCCTCTTCTTTTACATTAGCTAAAAAGTACCATTGTCCACACTCTTAGGAGTCATGATACATAACTAATTGGGCATGAGCTCCCAGAGCAATGAGACAGCTAAAAGGCAAAATCCAATGCTAGGATGCATCCCTATGGTAATATCAAGGAGTAGGGAAGTGGTATTACTTCTCTTTACAACACTGATGAGAACATGACCAGAATACTATCCAGTTCTGGTTCCCAAACTTAAAAAAGATACTAAAAGAAAGGATTTACAGAAGAGCCAGTAAAGTGACTTAAAAGCTGCAAACACGCTTTGCAATAGTGCAAGAGCAAAACTGTGATAAGCAGAAACTTAAAGTTCACTGCTAAGTACATATTTAGGAAAACCATGGAGCAGATGCAGCAGATGTGAAAAGGGGAAAGACCATCCCAAATTCTTTAGCTTAAAGTGAGTTAGTAGTTGGACACAGCCTAAAAACTACTGTTCATACTTTTCCTTGGACTGGACTTTTATTGGGAGTAGAGGGTACTGGAGAAAGCCTTTTGCAGGAGTTTTTGGAATGAGAATATAATCATCACACAAATTCCTTACCTGTTGCAAACTGAGAATTAGTGTCTTTGCACACTGGATTTTATCGATTTGCCTTGTTTTACTCAATGTTTCCTTAATGATATCTCCATAGTCATTGTAGTACTAAGAGAAAAGAGAAGAAAACCACACTTTTAAAGATAGAATTCCATTTCCTTTGTATAACTAATGATTTTCCTAATAGAAATGTTCATTTGTAATTCTTATTTTTGAGAAGGCGGTAGTTCAAACAAGTCATATCTGCAAACCATGCTTTCTCCACATGACAGTTGTCAAAGTCCCAGTACCTAAAGGGTACCTAGCTGGAACCTGTCTATTCAGTAATTAAATCCACAACTGCCTTTAACTGTCACTAGCTTTTAAAACTAACAGAATGAACTGGTATACCCAAATTATTTCCTATTATGAAGCTAATGTAGTTTTGGTGAAGGTGACTAGTGAGTCTATTTCCTGTAATGTTTTCAATTTAGCAATGTTCTTTTCTGAAAGACCCCACCTTTTTCTTAGAAAACTAAAAATAACATTGATCCCATTAAAACATGATGCTACTAACAGTTCAAAATTGATTACAGACATGGAAAAATGAAACAGTAGTATCTATAAAACAGTAGAGTTTATTTTCTCTTGTAAATAATGGAAGGAACAGATGACAAGAGCCCTTTAACGATAGATAAGTGCCAACAAATAGTTGATGGAAGATCTGCACTATTCTTCTCTGATTATTACTAATCATTTATTTACAGTAGCAATCATTGTATGTGGCAGGTGCTTTCCAAACACTCAGACTATGGATAAGTGCACAAATTAGAGGGAATTTGAAGGGAAGAGGTCTTACTGTGCATAGCAATTTTTACTGATGGGTAAATGACCTTGGTTAAACTTTCACTTACTGTGGAGTAAGAATAAGCCCAGGAAGTTCCTGCAGAGCAGCAGATGGGCAGTAAATCCTCATTCCCTGTTACTTTAATGTATTAGGGCAGCTCTTAACTCAAGAAAGAGCTACCCACAATCTGAGAACTGACAGTAGGAGGAAAACTAGACAAAATATATACAGTTGAAATGAATCATCGATTCACTAAAAACAGAATCATGGGAATTGGTCTTTACCAGGGACCTATATATGGACAGCCCAGGGGCCTTGTGGATTAGTTTTGAGATGTCTTATTATGCACAGAAGGGCCAGGTGGAAAAAGGAACAGAGGTGGCTACAGAAAAAACCTGACAGTTAGGTAGACAGGCCTGGGAAGGTTGGCAGTCAACAGACTTAATATAACACTTGAGAAGGGATGATATATAAGGAAGGGCAGATTCCACCAGAGCTTTATCTAGGTGGTACCTACAAATTGTATTTGATGCAACAGAAAATGGGAAACCAAGGTTGTCGGAGAAGCTTCCAGATAGTGGGAAACATGATCGGATAGGCCCACTAATATATCATATTGGCATATGGTAGGGACAACATTTCACCAGGGATTATAGAGCCAGAGCTAGCAAACCGCTGAGCAGCCAGTGAAGATCAGTGTAAAGGATCACCAAAGAATCATGTAACTATTTCAAAACACATTCCACTTATAATGAAGTGTAAGTCCAGACCAGCCTACAAAACCAGTTATCTGACCGTAGTAAGTCAGTACCTTCTCTACTCACATCTTCATCCCTTTTTGCTGCTTCTAGAATTTACCCAAAAAAGCAAAACAAACACAAGTACAGTAAGCCATCATGTGTTCTGGGCTTCACAGAGTGACTTGATTTTTTTCTTTTCTTTTCTTTCTGTGCACTAGAGTGCAAACAATTCAGGGCAGGAGCTGCCTTCACACTGTGGTGCGCTCAGTTTTGATCATATTGTAAACCGTTAAAAATGGTGATAAGAGCATCATACAATTGAGGGATGATGAAGGGTAATTTAATAGCAACTTTTGCAGAGACAGAGACCAACACTTCAGAGTTAGATGCAACAGCTCTTCCCTAGTGCAGGTCCCAAACAGGGTTTCAAAGGAACAACCTCTTACTTAAACCTAAGCATGTGCATAATGCAAGCTACTGCAGGGCCAGTGCTTTCCACTGCCTGCAATACACTATTGTTCTTATTAAAGGCCAGCACGCTCAAGCCCAGAGACTGATGCATCTCAGCATAGGAGGTAGTTGAAAGGGGAAAACTGCAGTAATAAGTTAAAATCAGATCAGAAAAAGTGCTCGTGAAGGTGCAGCAAGAAACTTCTGGTCTAGTGGACAGAAGAGGAGGATGACCTAATGTTTCAAATCTTTTCCAGCCACAATTTCTTTGCTTATTTAGGAGGAGTATAAAAAAAACCCACAGAACCATACCTTCATATAGTGCTTGAAGATATCTGCTGCTGCATGCATGTCCACAATATCATATATAATAAGCTTGCTAAATGCTGCCAGGAGGTTCCTTCTCTTATGCAAAGCCTCTATTTTGTTAGCTTCATCTTCTTCATCTCCCTCTAAATACAGTAAACAAAATGGTTAACAAATATCTATGGTTTTCTAAAGCAACATAAAACATGATCATGTTTGTTGAATGAATTATATTATTAAAAAATGAAAAACTCTCCAAAACGCTCTGAAGGTTAGCTTTAGGCAACACTGAAGTTGAAGAGGGTAAGACTCTAAAGCCCTATCTATATGGAGACACCTAGGAAAATTAAAAAGAATCAAGTTACAATGTCCTTTGGCCATTTTAGGACAGAAACATCCATATGGGCCTTTAAAGAGTTAACTTTAGAAAGAGGAGTGCAGCTACAAGAGAGTGGTTGGTATAAGCTGCAGGGGATATACTAGGTTTTGCTTCTTAAGGACATGTGTACTGAATGCTAATTGGTGGCCAGCAGACAAAGGGAAGACTTCCTGGACAGTAGTAAAGAATTCTTGCTACAGATACAGCAAGGAGAAAAAGTGAGGCTGAAGAATAAGTAAGAGAATTGGCAGTTTTTGACAACCAGGAAGAAGTGAACTGTAAGACACTGAACTCAGAGATGAGCAACCAACTTCCAGGTTCTTCTCAGAGCTACTGTAGAGAGTATTTCAGCTGGAACATGCAACACTAACACTGACTAGAAGTTAGAAAACCTATAACCTAAAAATGGGAGGTCCATGCCCAAGAAAAGGAGGAGGATGGAGGTCACAGATTCCTTCATATGGGGAGGGAGAAACCAATCTGTTGGTCTGACTCTGGGTGACAGTGCCTATCTGGAGCTTGAATTCAGAACATGGTAGACAAGTTGCTGAGACTCATCATCAGACTCATTTAATTACGGCCAAAAAAAATGGGCAGCTTGCTTCTGAGGCTGCCGGATGGGAACCTGAACAGATGAAAGAAGATAACAAACATCTAAGCAGAGGGATAATTAGGGGTTAGAGTTAGGGGCACTAATACCACTCTCATCGACCCTCTTTGTGAAGATCAAGGCACAGACACCAATGTGCATCCTGAACCCAAATGCATAGTTATGAAGCTGACTACCACAAGAGGGGCTTGGGCGTCTTTGACAACGGAAAAATATTCTATGATAGAAGATTGCTGGACAGGAGTGGGATCCATGAGATGAAGTTTATGAACAGCACCTCTAGATAGTGACCAGCAAACCTGGTGAGGAGGGCTTTAATGTAGGTTTCATGAGGGATGGTGACAAAAATGGACAGGATACATTAAAAAAGTAAGAATGAAGGATGGGGAACTGGAGGATGAATTCTGGAGAAGGGGCTAGAAATTTCAATAAGGCTAAAGACAATGCAGAGCAAAAAATACAGGCTACCTACACCATTTATTTTCAATGCCTACATACCAATTTGAGGAGTGTGGGAGAACAAGAAAGACGAACTGCACATCAGTGTGGAAGGGAAGCTATGCTCTAACTGGCATTACAGAGCTGTGGGAAGGCCCCATTCCTTCTGTTTTATTGCCCACAGGGTCATTCCATTTTGCTATAGTTGAGAAACAGAATTTAAATGATGTATAACTCCTATAAATGGCAGTTACGCAGCTGCAGATGTGCCATACAGACACAAAGTGAAACAGAATTTAGCCCAAAATGTCCAGCAAGTTCCCAATGTGCAAGAACACCTTTCTGGTCCAGAAAGTCGAAGAATCAACCAAGGGATTATTTTTTAATGGTTTCTAATCAATAGGTAAGAACTGGTTAAAAAACAGTGATTGCAGAATGGGTGGAGATGGTCGTGAACTGAGAAAGTTCATAATTCTAAAAACAGCAAGGCAGATGAACAGCAAAATACACAAGAAGAAAGTCAAATCAGGAGGTTTTAAGGTTCTATTTCTTAAGAAATATTCATTTGTTACAGACAAACCATGTCAAGACAAACTAGTTTCTTTCTTTGACAGGATAACTGAAGACAAAGGGAATACAGCAGTTATATATCTTGACATCAGTAGGAGTTTTGACATGGTGCATATCACATAGATTCATAGACATTAGGGCTGGAAGGGACCTTGGAAGATCATTGAGTCCAGCCCCCTGCCCCAGGGGCAGGAAGTCAGCAGGGATCATAGGATCCCAGCAAGATAAACTTCCAAAAGTCTCTTGAAGGCATTGTATGCTGGAGAAATATGGACTAGAAAAAATGAAATACAATGAATACACGGTTGCTAGAAAGATGACAGGCCATGAGTTGTAACTCATGGAACAATATGAAACTGGGAGAAAATATTGAACCGGGTCCCTCAGGGATTAGTTCTGGTCTAGTGCTGGTCAACATCTTTATTAAAGACTTAAAGGCGTGGAGATGTTCAAATTTTCAGATGACAACAAACACTGAAGGACAGAATTAAAATCTCATCAGTCTCGGCAAACTGGAGAATGGCACCATGAAATTAAAAATGAAACTCTATAAGTACAAATACCATATATACTGGCATAATGTGCACATTTTCTCCAAAATTGGGATGCATGTCTGAAGTGGAGAAACTGATATTCTGCCCAAAGTAGAAACATCCTACTTTGATTCCTGCTCTACAGTGCATGGCAGTTGGCTTTTATTATTTAGGCAGCTCATGGAGTCAGTTGACTTTACGGCTCACTGTTCTTCACTCCACAGGTATTAATAATCCTCTCTCCTCTTTCAATAGTCTAGATATTCCACTAATCAAGCTAACCTTTCTTCAGGCAGTTTTGCTGTCTGCCAGCTGCTCCTGGTCTCTCTTCTATTTCACAGCCCTGGGGACTCTCATTTTTTTCAAAACCATAGAGCCAACCATGGAGACCAGCCTTCAGTAACAGACAGGGTTTCAGCTTTTAGTTAAGCAGGAAAGGGAGGGCAGGTCAGCTGACGATTAGCCTGTCCCTGCTCCATGCAGCCCCAACTCTGGAAAAATGTTTTTTTTTCATTCTGTTTTTCAAAAACAAAGTGCATATTTTTTCTGTGGCATGTTGTAGGCAAGAAAATATAGTATTAGGAACTTCACAAAGGCAAGAAAAAGCAAATACTTTAGCATAAAGTGGAAAATAGTTGGTCAACAGCCCTGCTGGGAAGGAATCAAGGGCTACAAGTAAATCACAAACAAGATACAAGTCAGCAGTGTGATATTGTTGCAAAACAGGTTAATACAATCTTGGGTTGTATTACCAGCACCATTACACCCAAGATACATGATGCTATCCTAACAGGGGATATGGACTCAAGGCATAAAAGGAAAAGCTGAAGGGGCTGGCAGCTGGATGAAAAGAAGATTAAAGGGTGATACCAAAATAGCTGTCCAGTGTTTGACAGAGTGCCGTGAAGAGGGTAGTGAACAACCATTCTCCCTAGCTACTGAGAATGGGACAAGAAGGGTCTAAAATACAGGTATACAGATTCAGGTTAAATCACAAGGGGAAAAACTTTCTAGTGTCAGAGCAGTTAGGTAGGGAATGTCATGGGACATTGTTAAAAAGAAGCCGGATAGGTAACTGACACAGATGGTTTAGGTATAATACATCTGTTTCTATGCAGCAAATTTGAGTAGCTGTCCCTTGAGGTCCTTTCTAGCCATACGATTTACAGAATTAATTCATTTGCCTTAATTTTCCTGAGATTCCCATTCTAGACAAGACCCAAGTGAGCTTTTGGTTTAACTATCTTGATTAAATAATAGCCTGTAGGTGGTGCTTTAATATGGTTGGACTTGTTTTATCTTTTTACATAAGTATGAGCAATATTGTCCTACTGTAGAATTATTTTGCACCATGAAGAACAATGCATTTCAAATTTTAGCTGCGACATCCCTAGCACTCCAAAACAGCAATAAAGAATAGAAGATGTTACATGGCTCTGAGAAACACTGACATAAAAAGCAACATAAATGCTTATACTACAAATGAAAAAAATATTACTAAAATGGGAAAACAGCAGAATGCGAGACAATGAAACTGGATTCCACAACTTCAGTATCAAAACAAAGTTATATACAGATTTTGATAACAGTATTCACATTTAGATACACTGGCAGCATTCTCATAGAAAGAATTCCACTGCATTTAAATAACATAGATGGTATATAAATGCTGGGGTGATCACTTATTGTATACAGCTCCTACTTTTTGCCTATGTTGCCTCTACGGATTCACAATGTGCAAAGTCACGTGGCCATGAAACATTCTGAAAGCAACTGTGAAGGCGGGGAGATGCACAAATCCCTCTATCCCTAGCTGTTGTGGGCTACTATTCCCCGAGTTCTCTACTTCCAGTGCTAGTTGCAGGTTAGCTCTGAAAAAGAGAGGTCATGAAGGATCAGCGTACTGTAGACTGGAGTTGTGTTACAGAAGTTAACCCCTCATCTTTGTTGATGTTGCCTTCAGAGTCTCACTCTAGGAAGCTCCCTCAGAACTTCTACAACCTAGGCAGTGGTGAAAGTATGAAACTGACACCTGTGGGATCAGGACATGGAGGTGCATACAGAAACCCTATGGATTCTGACAGACAATTTCAGAGACTTGCTGCAGGACCGACCAGAGGCCCTAAGGAGCTGTCTAATGCAGGGATTGGCAACCTATGGCCCACAGACCAGTTCTAGTCTGCAGAGCTATTTGATCTGCCCTGTGGCCTTGGCAGTGGGGGCAGCAGAAATTTGCCCGTGCCACTGTGGAGAAGAGCGTGAGCTGCAGGCAATCTTCCAATGTTGCTATGGGGAGAAGCAGCAGCAGTAGCTGGATCCTAGCGCCCACATTTTACCCTGTCTGATTCAAACTGGGCTGCTGTGGTCTGCAGCCTGAAAAGGTTGCCTACCATTGGTCTAACAGGAACATTAACTAGCTTATGACAGGACTGGAAGAGAAATCTAAGCTATTTAAGGGAGGCTTTGACATGAAATAGATTTTATATTTTTCCAAAGCCCCACAGAGTCTGTTTATTTATTGAGGACCAAATGCAGATGGTCTTAACAGGCACCTCCATTCTAAGGCTGCAAATCAACACTTCTCAACCCTGGCACCACTATACCTGAATGCCATGAGATCCTTTTAAGGGTGCCATGAAATATTAGCATGTTGGGTGTTCAAACACCCGCACATGATTCACAAGACAAACCTAAACATTTTGAATAGGAATCCATAGCATCAAAACCATTCTGACCTGTTATGGTCTTTCTAAATTTTCAGCAACAGAAAAAATATTCTGTTTTTCTGTACTCAAAAAAGAAGTAAAAGCTAAAAGATAGCACTTTCCAAGGGGTGCCTTGAGTCTAATGAGGGGTGCAGTTTGAGCCTAACAAGATTGCAAACAACTGGTTTAAGTATTAGGTAACTTGCATCAGGAAAGAGATTTGATCTGACAAGCCCAGTAGCTTCACATTTCAATATCATCATTGTGCAAACTTCAGAGTGGATGTGGGTGGGGAAAGTTGCTTAAGAGAGATTAAGGTTTAAGTGTCTATGTTGGTGGTTCTCACACTTTTTAGACTCAAGGCAACCGTCCATAACTTTTGTGAATTTAGTGGCATCCCATTTCAAAAACTTATTTCACTTGTTTTTTTACTACAAAAAAAATAAGAGCTACTCTTCTAATGGGCCTGTAGCTGCATGAACCACTCCTCGTCTCCCCACACCATTTTAAAGAGGAGACCTAAATTTGCTTTTCTCCAGTCCCCTCCTGATTACACAGATTTACTATAAAGCCTTTATTCTCCTACAGTCCCATCTTGACTTGACAGATTTATTACAGAGCCTTGCTACTGAACCTACAACTTCATGCACCAGATCTTTCAGGATTCTGGGATGAATAATATCTGGTTCCCCAATATTAGCAAAGAAAACTATTTTAGGGTTTCTTGCATCTCAGATGTGATAATTCCATAATCTCCATAAAGCTACCTTGCCTTTCGCAAGGTTCAATATCATTGTTCTTAAAAATCAAAGCGTTTATTTAATTTTTGGCCTAAACATAGGCTATTGTTAGTTGCTATCCCATTTTCATGGTTTAATAACTCTTTCTTTCCTTGTTCTCTTTTAATTCTACATGGCTAAAGAACAATTTACTACTTCTTTTGATTTCCTTTCCAGAGTACAAGTTGCTTTGATTTAGAGCAGGAATATACTGAGAATGGCCAGTCTCACCTCTGAGATGCAACTGCTTTGTACGCTCTCTACTTTTTCCTAATACCCATTAAAAAGGCTGCTTACTGCTCTTCTGAACTTGAGCCGGCATTTGCTCATACAGGTTTCCCTTGCTTTATGCTGTACATGCGTTCCTGAAAAACGGTGCCTAACTTGAATTTGCATAAAGGGAACCCACTTTGCACGTATCCCTATTTGTTATATTGTAAAGACCTCGACTGTACTGACCCCCCCCAACCCATTTCTACCACTTTTACAAGACAATTTTGGTACTCAACAACAGCAGACAGTATACACAAGCACAGGACACTATCATAATGGGGATGGCAACTACAGAAACATGTCAAAGATGAGTGAGGAGCACAGATTTACACAGGAGACTATATTTTGGTGTGTGTCACTCCTACAATGCACCGCACAAAGCAGCTGATTGCAGGCTTCCACCACACCAATCGCATAAGAGCGAATTTACCTTGCATATAACTAATTTTTGGTATAAAAAGGGTCACAGCATAAAAGTGAATTTGTGTATACGGAATCTACATAAAGCGGGGGAAACCTGTACTTAATCACAAATGGTTTAATGCTGTATCCCCAGGGGAAGTGGTTATGGGCAATGTGCAGTGCAGTGCTTGTTTGGTCTATTATTAACAGTTTGGTTCTTCCCTCTAAAGAGATGGTGACTTTAATAAGAGTCATAATAAAAGAAAGTTCAAAGATGTCTCAGACATGCTCCCTAAGAATGAAAGCAGCATTTGCTACTGTCTCTGAAGTCATGTACTTAACTACAAAAAGTGCACTACTGCTGCTACTACTACTACTACTAGAGATGCCAGCTTGCTCATTCACATGTTAAAAAATAAAGGACATTTGCTCATAAAAGTCTCTGTTAAAACAGAGTTAAGGTTATTGCTGCATGATAGTGTTGCCTCTTTGTGGTCTTCAAACCCTTAGACTCGCATGTAGAGGTGCACCGATACATTGGTCTGATATTGGATTGGCACAA